GACCCGACGACGCAACCCGAGAATTTCTAAAATATTTTTTTCTTTTGTATTTTACAAGACGAGCATTCAAATATTTTGAAATTTTGATTATCTCGTTTCGGTATATTGAATGTGTAAGTAGCAAGTTCGAATAATGTTTCCCTTCATTGGCCATCCTACTGAGTTGCTTTAATATGTTTATTATTAGTTTAGGCTGCAGCATTTTTAACATATCATCGTGTTTGCTCTTGCACAGTCTGTTTATTTTCACAACAAAACAGTGTTGCCAAGAGCATGCCTGTGGAACATTGTTTTGAAAAGTGCTCTTGAGAGCGAGAAAACACGAAGGCATGATGATTTGTAAACATTTCATGTTTAGAGTATAGTTACCTAGTTGTACAAGCACAAGCAAAGATGTCGTGACCTTGCAAAATAAGGACGAAAACTATTTCACGCCCTCGTCTTTTAAAGGGACGGTGGAAAATAGAATGAATGATTATTTTCAGATCAAGAGACAAATATCAAAATTGTGTCTGACATGTGTTATTGTTTCTCCTCCCCCCTCTCTCTCCCTCTCTCTCCGTCCCTGTCTCTCTCTCCGTCCCTGTCTCTCTCTCTCCATCTCTGTGTTTCTCTCAGCCTTTATCTGACTCTCTCTCTCTCTCTCTCTCTCTCTCTCTCTCTCTCTCTCTCTCTCTCTCTCTCTCTCTCTCTCTCTCCCTCTGTGTGTGTGTGTGTGTGTGTGTGTGTGTGGACGCTTCTGTCATCCTGTGTCTCACGGAACAAACGTGCGTCTTATTGCGCAAGCATATGCACATTCTCATCGTACAATGCCTATATTCTTCCCACAAGTGCCAGCAATAAGTTGACAAAGTTTTATCGCAATCGGATGAACGGTACGGCAGCGCATTAAGCACGAACCAACAAACAAACATGGTTGTTTATATATTTTATTTGTGTGATTTGTGATTTACGTTGTGTGATTGTATCGTCGACGTGTGTTGCAGGTCGCTGCAGGTGTACGAGCAGCTGGGGCGCCCGCACAGCGAGGTGCTGCGCGAGCAGAGCCTGAGCGAGGGCGGCGGCGCGCTGGGCGGCCCGCTGCGCTACCAGCACTCCGCCATCTTCTGGCTGCAGTGCGACCAGGTCAGTGCCTCGACTTTATTCCTTAATTTGAGTCTTAAATGAAGAGTCTTCTGTAATCAGAACCTGCTTGAAATGGAAATTTTCTACACTGCCATTTGGAATAAATTGACATTTATGGCGATACTTTTGGGATTTTTTAAAAAAACTAAGCTTCTAAACGAAAAATGGGTATCACCAGTGTATTCGCCATAAAACTCTGTAGCTCCGCAGTGATTAAACTGCGAGGTGGAAGGCTTAACAGACGTTACAGCCCCGCCTCTAGTGCAACATTACCACCCTATATAGCAGAGCTGTCCAACTGGCAGCCCGCGGTGCCATTTATTGTGGCCTGCGGAAGGTTATTAGACAAATGTTTAAGCCTCTTTCGTTCACGTTGGGCAAGAGCATTGCGTGCCTAGTACTTGCGTCCTGTCGGGTTCGACACTGATAGAAAAATAGGTTAAGTTTAGATTTGAGGAATTTTTGTCTTGTCAGTTCAGAAATTCAATATCATCCCAATGTGTTTAACTGTGTTATACATTGTAGAGCATGCATTGATATCATGTATAGGTCAATCCTCCTCCCACCGCTCGTTTCAGAGCATCCAGGCAAACAGCCGATATCTATAATATGGAGTCAAGTGTGGATCGCCCCAATAATGAAAATGTGCCCGCAACCGAATTACAGATTATAGTTCTGGTCCCTTGGGGCCTAGGAAGTTGGTCATCTCCGCTATATAGGATTGTGTTGACCAGTGGCACAGGTTTTGAAAATACGGAATTGCTAAGTGTAATCCGTGATTTTTTTCACAGGAAATAGGTTTTCATCAGTGTTGATATATCAGGGCAGGAACGGAGGAAAGTTCTTTCCTATATACTAGTGTTACTTATTTTTAATGTAATTACCAAATGCAATGTTTGTATTGATATTTGAGAAGACATGTAAAATATTTAAGCTGTGAAGAACGTGACTTTGATCGAGTTTTGAACTACGCGCTATTTTAATCAATGCGATCGATCGATCGAGAACGATCGAATTCGCAGGATTTCCTTCTCTCGTGTTGTCATCGCCGTATCTCTCTGCGCCCCTGCGGCCAGGAGAGAAACTCGTTTTTAATGGAGCAGTATGACCCTGAAAGTGGGACTGCTCCCTCGAACGTCTAGAGACGTCTCTTTGAACTAGATCAACGCGACATTGGAAGCCTGTTTTCCTTCACGATGTATTACCCCAAAAAGGGCCAGCATGTAGGAAGCCGCTTGCGCACTGTGAAATCTTCGCAGGTCGACTTATGTAATCGAATTTCTTGATTGTTTCGTTTAAAGTGGTATATGCAATTGAATTCTTTATCCACTGCAGCCACACAGCGAAGTGGAGGGCTAGAATGGTAAAGTCTGGTGTATGGCCTGATGTATGACAATGCCCAAGAATTGGGTAGCCTTGACAGAAGTTCTAAGATTATCCTTCATAATTGCTTTCGCAGAACACATGTCTGCATTCCTTCTTTTATTACCTACTGTGCTAGGAAAACTAATAATCTCTCTCTCTCTCTGTTGTCCGATGTAAAGGTGCTTTCCTTAACCACACTTTTCGTTAATTCATGGTGCTGCCGTTGCTAATAGCGGTGATAATGAATCAATATTTCATAAATGGGTTTTGCAAAGTGTTAAATACAAATTCATTTTCAATATTTTCAGTCAAACGTTCATATATCAAACTCTCTGGGAAATAAATTTCGCCGACGACACTGAAAGCAAATTAAATTTCAACCTTTTGGATGTTTAATGATAACATCATGGGTGAAGTATAAAACTTTTTTTAACCCCAGGCTTTTCTTCAGTAGGTCACAAAAGTAGTAGATAAAGGCAATTTTTGAGCTCAAAACATTCCTAATATTTCCAATTTTTTGTTTCCTCACATTAATCGAATGTATTGCTAATTGGGTTTTGATTGATTAATTTTGTCATTCACTAATAATTTCTAAAGTACTTCTTAGTAAGAGTTGAATGAACGATAGTTACTCGAAAGTTGGAATATATTTTAATAAGCTAATATGACAATGCACTTAATAACAATCGTTGTATCATGTGTCCACTAAGGAAACACAATTTTAATTTTCTGTAGAGAATTGCTGATTTTAAAAATTTGAGATAAAATATATTTTAATAATTGAAGCTCGACATTACCAACTTTGCTGGCGAAATGATACTATGGTGGTGTTCGCGTCAGACTTGATGTGCAAAAATATTGTTAAATCCACATAAACATCGAACATTTCCTGCGTATGTTAATGTCTGCGTTTGCAAGATTCCAGAAGGTTCATTTGTTCATTTTCAAGAACAAGACATTGTTCATTTTCAAGAAAGCGGCATTTCTTATTTAGTTAATGGCACTATACTTAAAACACTTTTTTTTTTGTAAAAAAAGTAATTTCCTTTGGGTTCTTTTAGTTTTATCTTGCAGAAATGTCTCCTCTTTGATTTCATTTACTCGTTTCAAACATTTATCAAAGAAATCATTTTCTCTTAAAAATATCATGTTATATTTAAATGTGTGAAAACCAGAACGGTATAAGTGACATTTTATAAATTATGATAAATCAGTTTATTTAAGTCAATATCAATGTCATGGTCCTTTGTTTCATCATTTCAGTCACCATAACGTTTCAGTTGTTCATTAATATCACGAAAATACATTGCCTCTGAAATATAGCCTGAAATATACACTTTTTCTCAGAATTTATGAAGTGTTGCTTATACCGTTCTGTGTTCACCCATTCATTTACTCTAAATAATGTTTAACGTAGTAGAGAACATTCCACAGTATGAGGAATGACGTGAAGCAGAATGTGGGAGAAGGTACTTATTAATAAGGGTGGCAATAAATATTTCAATCCGACTTATGGTTCCTGTCTTTTTTATGGTTGAAAAGTGCATAGTCTTTGCAATGTCAGCCGTTTAGTGTAAACAGAGATATCACTGACTCGATTTTATTACTGTGCTATTTGCACATGTGACTCAGTTCATGGAAGATAAACCGATACCTAAGCCATAAACTAAGTCTATTTCTGTGAGTAGTGGCACTGTCTTAGTTTTTCATACTGTACTAAACTAGTTACCCTTTTTGCTTATTCAAATAATATCTCTCTAACACATTTTTAGTCTGAACAAAGCCATTCTCAGTAGTATACTTTTACATATATAACTTTAATTGATTCATAAATCGATCATGTAAGTCATGTATTGAAGGAAATCGAAGCTATGCACTTTCTGTGCAACACCTTTCATTACAGAAACATATAAACACTCCAGAAACGTGTAACTTGTTTATCATTACAAAAGAAATGAATATAATTGTTCAGAAAGAAAAATTAACACAAAAAAAAAACACTAGAATTGTGCCAATTGGGTGCTTTTATATTCCTGTGTTCATTTTTCTTTCAGAACAAATATATTCATTTCTTTTCTAAATAGTAAACATGTTTCTGGGGATGTTTATATGTTTCTGAAATGAAAACTTTGCATAGAAAGTGTTTTTTCAAACCAACTTTAGTGTAATTGCAGCTCAGCAATTCTAAATATTGGAGGAGTTTATTAGATAAAATATGCTTAAAATTGTCTTTAGAGCTTATTTTCGAAGCTTCGACATTTCCTCCTTTGACATTCTGTGTAAAGAGTGACTTCTAATTACGGTATCATCTCAGCAATTAAAAACATCGTCTTAGAAGCTGTATTTCTCAACGACGTACCGCAGAGTGAGTAACCAAGATTATGATACCAAGTTTAGTCTTGAGAGAGTCTCGTTTCATCGCAGCCGGGATTAATAATTGTCGAAGTTGCCAGTACTTCACGTGAAAAGGATATACGAGTAACTTACTTTGTAATGTGTTGCCTGACACGTGCAAGCACACGAGGTTAGTTTGCTGTGGAAAGCGCTATCAGGAAGGTCGAATGGAACTTCTAGGAGAACACAGCGTATCGTTTCTCTCTACGCAACAGTACCTCTTCCGCCGAGACGCCTGCCTCATAAATCATTCGATACAAGTTCACGACGACGATATACCGAAAGTAACATAAGGTTCTGGAGTGTGAACGTGAAAGTCTTTCTGTACAATTGTTATTGTGTTCAGATTCCATTAAAAATTCTATTTAAGCTCTTTAAACCCTCTGAAAATGTGCAGGATCGTCGTTCCACATTTCGACTTCATTTATAAAATATTAGCTCAGTTACAATACTATGTGGTAATTGGTGTCTCATTACTTTTGTGCTATCATCTTACATTGTTAGTTTGTAGAAATTGTGTTCTAATACCTTGGAAATTAATCCTTAGGATGGGATGTTTTATCTGTTCAGCTCACTATAGGACTTGGGTAAATAAGAATGTATATAATTAAATTATAAAGTCGGCCCCTTGGCGCAGACTGTTGCGGCAGCCGTCGTCTGTGCCGAAGAGGCTGCAGGTTCGAGTCCTGCGTAGACATGGTCGTGTTTGTGATTGTCCCTTCACCTATCATCATCCTTTCATCTCATAATTCGCACTTCAAGGCTAACAACCTTATTGTAATCCAAGAATACAGCCGAAAAGCTGATCCTGGAAGAATTACACACGTTAATCGTGTAGGTGGTCAGTAATGGCCTATACCTAATTAATAAATAATAATAATAATAATAATAATAATAATAATAAAATAATAATAATAATAATAAAATAACAATAATAATAATAATAATAATAATAATAATAATAATAATAATAATAATAATAAAAGTATAAAAGACTATCAAGCGTATATAATTTTTAGGCAATTTTCAGATATATTCGTGTTCATGAATTTTACATTGGTACTTTTGAATACATATTTTTAATTATATTGTTAGATTTTGTAGATGTCGATTTCATTCCTTGAAAATGGCTCCAGAGTCCTTTCGCAACATGTTTCTTTTTTCTTCGACTCTCTATTAGAATGGTAAGATTGTTTATATCAAGAAAGATCGTTCACATATATTGTTTTACCATATTAAAT